AACTGAGCTGTGTGAACGCAGAGGAGAGCAGTGTGCCAGTATGTGTACAGAGACAGTAAGCCTGGCATCTTTGCTCCAAGATCACGAGCTACTAATTAGTTTATTCATACAGATAGCTTGTCTTCTGCAGAAGTCTAAATTATCCATAGGAGTCCACCATTGAGGTACCTAGGCATCAAGCACAATTCCATACATGGGAAAGAACTGGGTGCATTAACCTCCTTGTGAATATCTTGGGAGCTCTGGCAAGCAAAACTAATGGTGGCATTAACAGATTTTCCAGCTAAATCCTAAAGGGTCTTGCATCCTTGCCTGCCAATTTTCCTTGGTGGGAACGGTGTGGATGTATACCCTCATGCTCCTTGGGGGGTGTGCAGGGTCCCAGCACCCCCACCCCAGCTGCCAGGATGATCCAGCTCACACTTTGGTGCAGGCCCAGCCTCACCTCCCCAGTTCCAGGTCGGGTCCTTACCTTGTCGATCACTCCCACAACCTTGCACCGTCTCAGGTTCTCCACTGCCGAGCTCAGCGTCCTGATGGGCCGGAAGCGCAGGCTGCTGTAACCCTGCAGGCAGTGAGAGAACAGCATGAGGGACCTAGAAATGTTACTGTCCGTGGCAGCGTGTAGGAGAAGTCCCTGCATTTTCCAGGGAAGGCAGCAATACTGCCAGGCTGGTCAACATCCAGAGGCAACGCTCCCATGGCCATGGTTGATTCCTAACATCAGCTGGACCATTTTCCCAGCCAGCTCCTGGATTTCTGAAGTTTCCAGGGAAAGCTTGCACCTGCAGCAGATGTAAAATCATTCCAAAATTTGGACCTGGACAGGGGCTGCTTCAGCACTAAGGGGATCTGTATGGATATGGAAGGAAGTTGCCTTTCTCCCCTCGTCCTTCTCACCAGGCCCCAACTCTACCTGCCTCACTGCCTTCTCACTTCATTAACCACCTCCTTCCACAGTGCAGCAAGGAGCCTTCTCTAGTTTCCAACCGGAAGGGAACAATGATGGGGAAGACAATATATTTAACATGTTACAAGGTGATTCCCCCCCAGCAGCTTCCGTCCAACCAAAAATGGCCATTTTCATTATAGTGGCAACAAGCTAAATGTATACACCTCAGAGGGTGGGGGTCCTGGGAGCACCCCAGACAAGCTGGGCCCACCTCAGCTCTTTGACCCAGGCAGGGTGAAGGGCTGTCAGCTCCTTCACAGCCACCAGCATGCCAGGACACTGCAGCTGATGTGTCTGTCGTTTTATCTACACCACCTTATGGTGGCATCTGGCAGAAGCAGTCAAAGAGGCTCACTGGGGCTGCTTTGTGTGTGTGTGTGTGTGTGTTCCAGGTGTCCTAGTGCCATAGACCCGCTGCCATCCCACCCAACTCCACCCCACGCCAGCCCCTCACCGTGGCGGTGGGGTTGCTGCCCTCTGCAGCCCGCTGGAGGTGGCAGTTGAAGATTTCCTCTGCACGCCTCAGGTACTGTGTGATCTTCCGCTTCACGGCCTCCCGGCGCTCCTTGTTGGGGTCAACTGTGGTCAGTGCAGAGGGCGGGCATGAGAGGCTGCATGCTCCCCAGAGGTGTGCCCTGGTCCCCTGGCCACGCTCCCCCCTGGTCCCATTGATATGCTTCCAGGAGGGATGCCCTGGTCCCATTGACACATTCCCCGGAGAAATGCCGTGGTCCCCTCAGCCTTCTCACTGGCCCCCTGGCTGCAATCCCTGCAGGGATGCCCCGGTCCCTCGCTGCTCTCCCTGAATGGATGCCCCAGTTCCCCTCCGGGGAGGCCTCACGCACCCTGCACTCCGCGGAGCAGCACGTCCACGCCGTTCTGGTAGTGGTTGAAGGCCTCCTCGTAGTCCTCACTGACGTCGCGCTCCAGCGCTAGCCGCAGCTGCCGCGCCGCCTCCACCAGGTAATCCCGGCGCCCGCCGCCCTCGGGGCCCGCCGGCGACACCCGGCTCCGCAGCTGCCCCAGGTAGACGCGGGCCTGCGCCAGCGCCCGGGAGCAGGGCTCGGCCTCCGCCCGGCTCATGGTCCCGCACCGGAGACAGGGACCGGCAGCATCCTCCGGCGGGCGCGGAGGGAGGGGCGGGGCCGCGCCCCCGGGACGGCGCTGATTCGCTGCGGATGAGGTCATCACCCCCCACCCTCCCGGCGCTGCACCGGGGGTCCCGCTGCTACTGCCCCAAGGCCGGGCCCTCACCGTTCAGCTGAGGTGCGGTGAGCGCCGCCGCTCCGCTTGCTCCATTGCCATCGTTATTCACCGTTAATTGTCCTTAATTAACGAAGCTCCCGTTGTTCATTCAGCACTGCCTTTGCCACCGTGCTTCCTTCCTCCCGTAACACGTAATTAGGTATGCTTTAAATAGCCTTCGCCTTTACCTGGTGTGTCTGTTTCAGCAGCTCCCTGCTGACCCGACCCATTATTTCCCATCCCAGGGCACGGGTGATCTTTCTGACCTGCATCCTACAGGTGGGTGTCATTGTTCCAAAGCCCTGGGCTCTTGGCTGTCCCTTGTACTAACTCCCGCAGGCCCATTCAGTCCTGCATACTCATTTCAGAGCTATAGAGGGGGGAGAGTCAGCACAAATGCACTGATGCCTAAGCGATCAGTGACGGGTGATTTTCCTCAAGGGTCGGTATTGGAACCAGCACTGATTGTCAGTAACACAGAGAGTGGGATTGAGTGCATCACTGACAGGTTTGCCAGTGACATCGAGCTGTGTGGTGCAGTTGACATGCTGGTGAGAGAAGGGATACCAAAGAGAAGGGCACTGACAGGCTGGTAGGACCGTGTGAACCTCATGAAGTTCAACAAGGCCAAGTGCAAGATCGTGCACCTGGAACTGAGAATGGATTGAGAGCAGCCCTGAGGAGAAGGACTTGGGGGTATTGCTGACGAGAAACTCAACATGACCTGGCGATGTGCACTCACAGCCCAGAAAGCCAACTGTATGCTGGGCTGCATCAAAAGAAGTGTGACCAACAGGTCAAAGGAGGTGATTATCCCCCTCTCCAGCAGCACAGAGCAGGGACAGGCAGACAGTTGCTGGTCCCCTCAGAAGGGTGAATGGGTGGTGGCCACAAGACTCGAGGGCCAGGAGCCCCAATCTCCTCCTCAGAGCAGCAGGGCCTCAACCTGACCCTCATGTCAACAATGGCTGCAATGTCCGTCTGGAAGTCCCTGGGACTAGGAGGGTGCCAGCCCTCTCCCCTCTGTCAGGGACACACAGGGGCCTTCACTTGCCAGTGAAGCCACAGTGAAACACCCCTTGGAGCTGGAGGGAGCCCCAACACCTGGAGATGCAGCTCCTAAACCCCCCATGCTGGCAGTAACTTCTGCTGCTCCTGCCCTGCCAGAGCTGATCCTTTCACCACTGCTGCAGCAGGACAGCCACATCCCTCCCAGGCATCCCGGTCCTTAGTGTGCACCCCAACACCCCATGCCTGAAAACGCTCACTGCCAAGCAGCAGCCAAAGAAGTGATGCCAGACACCAGAAGCTGTTGGGGAAAGCTGCTGGGCAGGAGCTCATTTGAATTATTTGTTAACCTTCATCACTACTCTTGACAAGCTTACTTTTATTAACTAACACCCTCGGGTTTATGTAACTTCCTTTTTAAAGGTTTAATATTACTGTGGGAAAACTTTTACTGTTAAAACCAATGCAGAAACCACCACATACATCCCTTGAGTGCTGCACACTTCTCCTTAGCCTCAAAGCTCAAACAGCATGCGGGTGTGGGGAGAGCCTGCACAGACCAGGACTGGCCACTGCAGTTGGATGCCACATGGCCCACACAGCCCCTGAGTGGCATAGGAAGGGGAACAGCAAGATCCCCTCATCTGTGAAGCAGCCAAGGAGAAGCTTATTGGAAGATAACACCCAGCTGCACAGGCACAACTTATCCAGTCCGTGCATGCTGGCAGCACAGAGGTTCACATCACCTCAGCACTCACCCTTTTCCTCCCAGGGTACCACTGCCCCAGACCCCACATCCCTGTGCCAGCCACAAGCAGCACCAGCATTACAACTCTGAGGGAAACTGCCCTGGCTACAGGCTGCTGTGTCAGAAGCAGGGAAGAGCTGCCTTGGTTCCTAACACCTGCTGCAGCAGGATCCCTTGTTCCTCAGTGCAGGATAGACCATGGGTCACCTTGTTTGATGGCAATGCTGAAGCCTTTGCGCATCTTGCCCTCCTGCCTTCTGCTTGAGGCTTTCAATAATAACCCTTGATTTTGTTTTAACCCCATGCTAGGGGTGCCTCACAAGCATGCTGGTGTCCAGCTCGCCCTTAGGGTTTCCAGCTATGTGCACTGCTCCAGGTGCAGCTTCCAAGGAGCAGCACAGGGTGCATTTGACAGCCAGCCCCAGCAACCCTGTAGCAGGAACAGGAAAGGGGATAAGAAGATCCCCAGGAGCACTGCTTGAGGCACACAGAAACAGGGGCTGGCCAGACCCAGGCAGAGTGGGGAAAGCAGGAAATGGCAACAGCCTCAGCCACCTCGGTGAGGGCCACCAGCCCCCTCCACACCCCAGAATGATCTTTTCCCCCAGGCCAAGTGAATGATGTTTCTTGGATGTGAAGGCCCACAGGCAGCCTGCATGCTGTACCCTAACCTTCCATCAGCCCAACAAGGGAGAAGGAAAGCCACAGGACAGCAAGTGAGGGATGGTGAATAAGAGGTACTATCTCCATGCTACAGTGTGGTGGAGAAGGGTATTTCCCCCAAGGGCCTCCCAGTTCCCACCTGAGTTCCAGCACATGGGCAGCTCCCAGCCTGGGAAGCAGCCTGGTCCTGACCCACTGATTGCCCATCTCCAACAAGAGCAGCATCGTGGATGCTGCAGGAGTTGCTGCTGGGGACAAGCCCTGGGCCGTGGCAGCACTGCCCTCCTCCAGCCTGGGACAGAGCCCACAGGAAGAGCCCTGCCTGCAGGCAGTTGCTGGGAAGCAGACAGAAGCGCTCACACTTCCAGTGCCTGCATCCCCCCCACCAGGTTTTATTGAGCAGGGCAAGGCTGGTATGTGGCTGCAAGTATGTGAGAAGCCCTGGCAACCCCAATTCCCACTCCTTCCCCTCCAGGAGGGCTTTCCAGGCACCCTCCCGGGCTGCCCCATGCCAAGGCTCAGATGAACACAGCCCTGCAGCCTTGTCTGCCCCGGGTTTCCTTCCTCCCCAGCTGCAGGGCACTGGCAGTACAGAGCAGTTCTGCAGCTGCAGCCCTCCATGCCTCCTCCACCCATCCCCATGATGCTGTCCCCAGCCAGCTCCAGCAGCACATCCACCAGCTCCACTCCTCATTGCCCGCAGGATGCCCTCAAACACCAAGATGCTGCTTGAGCTCCTCATCTTCAGCCCCAGGCCTGGTCACAGGTCCTTTTGTCCTGCTGCTGATGGTGCACATGGGGCAAACGAGTCCTCAGTTGTAGGCTGCATTCCAGCCAGGGCCAGGCAAGAGTCCAGTCAGCTTTTCCCTGCTGAAGTCCTGCTCCCCACTGCTGCATGGCAGGACACAGTTCCACAAGTTCCTCACTCACGCCAGGGGAAGACACTGCTGGCTCAAACCCAAGCAACAGGAGCAAGGCCAGGGGCAGAGCGGAGGCTACCTGCGTGGTGTGCCACATCTGTAAAGAGAGCATGGCACGGGTGAGCTCTGCTGGTACTGAGGAACACCAGGACCTCCAGGCTCACCCGCTGTGCCCCAGGTTCCCCCTTCTCTATGCTGAGCACCTCCTGCACCAAACCAAAGCGGTAGGGACCACAGACAGCCCCTTAACAGGGAAGAACAAGGGGAATGGGGCTGTAGGTGTTGGCCGAGCCATGAGCAGCAGGCTTCAGAAAAAAACCCACGGAAATACAACATGGAAGTGCCAGCCACAGGCACCACACCTCAAAAAATGTATGCAGTGAGAGTCCAGCCTGCATTGTTACAGCAAGTGGTTTGAAGAGTCAGCTAAACATAAGGAGGGAAAGGGTAGAGTAACCCAAACAATGACCAGCCAAGGACAGCAGGAAGGACACAGGATGAGGCTAAAACTGGAAATTCAGGGATCCAGGAAATCCAGTGTGGCCTGTGATAGTGATAGAGCCACATACCAGCAAGTAACTCCATCCGTCCATCCATCCATCCATCCATCCATCCCCACCCTGGATGGGACTGGCCAGCTTTGAGCAGCTGAGCCTGGAAACTACTGAGCGTTCAGTAAGAGGCCCATTGCCCTATAGCCACTCACTGTCCCTGCTGCACTGCTTTCTCCTGTGCCTGCTCTGCACAAACTCCTCACTGCTTACAGTGTTAGTAAAGACCTAAAGCCTTAATGAAGCTGTTCATCCCAAAGAAATGAACCCACAAGACACCACCCATACCTGCCCATGCTCACTTACAGTTCACAGCCTTTACGTCTTGTCCTCTCTTGTCTTCTCTTACCTCGGCCCTTAGGCCTTCTCCTTTGAAAGGAAAGGACCACAAGAAAGGCTGATGTGTGATGAGACATACAACCCCAGCCCATAACACTGCCCCAACACCACTTACCTTCCCAGCCTCATCAGGTCCTGCCGGGGCCTGTGGGATAGGAAAAGAAGAGTGAAGCGGTTACTAGGGCAATGCTGGCTGTTGGGCTGCTGCCCCAGTGTGCAGCACAATCTACCTGCTATCATCCATGCTTAAACCAGACCAAATACAACTTCCTTTCACGTTATCATCCCCTCACACAGGAACTGACTGCAGTAGACAGAGAGAAGACAAAGACAGCAGAGGGGCAGGGGGACGGTCAGCTTTGGCAGCTCCCCGGGGAAGTGACATTCTACCCATGAGGTTGGGAAGCACAGATTCAGTTTCAGCTGCTCTCAGTGACAGCTTTCATAGCTCAGCTGGTTAAACAACATGCAATGTCCTGAGTAACATGTGGGATTCGCTGCAAAGCCTCAGTAGTGGTTCTCAGACAACAGCCACAACAAACTTGGCTTAAGCATCCAGTGTAGGTGCCAAGGCCAGGACATCCACTGCACCCACACTGCATTTCAAGGGGAAGCACTGTAAAGGTATGGAAGGCAGCTTAGGGAGAAGCCAAAAGGTGCTGCAGAAGCAAGAAGTTTACAGAGGTTCAAAGGCAGCCTGCAGGAGTGCTTGTAGGAGATCCCCTGGGAGTTACCCTAGGTAGGAAAACCACAACAGGCTCAGGAAATTCCCTGTATGGCAAATAGCTGGAAGCAGAGCAAGAGGGGGGAAGTAACACATGTGCCTCTTCCTACTCTCCCTTCTGCATCCACCAGCAGATGCTTCAGAGACAGAGCAGAGCCGGACAAGCCTTGGGTCTACTCCAGCATAGCTGCTTTTACAGCTGCAGGGGAATACCAGCCCTGGGATCCTCAGGGTCTTCCTCCAGGCAAGGATCTTGTGTCCGACGGCTGCCCAGCAGGACACTCAATCCCCAGTTTTCGCAATACTGGATCACCCTGGGGTCATGATGGAGAGCAAGTGCCAGGACCCCCCATGCAGGCAGGGTTGGAGCATACTTGTGCAGGGACCATCTGTGAGCAGTCCTGGAGCTGCTCCTGGCTCCCAAAGCACTGCAGACCCCAGGCAGGGGCCCCATCGTGCCCAAGCTCTCACCGCTTCTGGGAACAGTGAGCACCCCAAGGTGGGGTCTGTGGCAGGTTGGTGCTGCACATCCATACCAAGCTGGCACTGCACTTTTCAAGCTTTCATTTGTTAGTTTGGATGTAAGCCACTGCTCCACCTCCCTGGATGGATGGGGCAGCCTCCATTGAATGGAAGCCCAAGGCCCAGCTCTTCAGCTTTCTCTCTGGGCCACAGTCATGCTCAGGTATGGCAAGCCATGGAGATCTCTGCTGAGCCACCACCAGGCACCTGCCTCAGAGCCACCAGCCTTGCTGTTACCCACGGACCAGAGGATTACATGCCAAGCATGCCAAGGAAGCCGTGGGGTTGGAAGGCACAGACACTGCTGCTCACAGAGCCGAGGTGCACCAGCAGCTCCCCTCTCCATGGTGGAGGGAGGCCGCTGCAGAAGCACAGTGCAGGCTGCACCTGAGCAAGGGCCATAAGCATCAGGAAACAGAGGCAGCAGGAGAAGGGGGTTCCAGCAGAGCCAGGCTGCCCCCTCATAGCTCACACATGGTGAGCTGGCAGGGTTGCTCTCGCTGCAGGGGCACAGGGGTGCAAACCCAGCCAGGGGAGTCCCTACCTGCACTCGCACTGCTTGTGCTCGGTGAACGCCATCTCCACGTAGGGAGCCTCCCCATTCGGCTTTATCTTCAGGAGCTGAAAGAGGAGCAAAGGTTACTTCCCAGCCAGCGGCAGGAGGGGGCTGGAAGGGCTCCCACGGCGCTGCCTCGCCACCGCAGCCTCTCGGGCAGACGCATGTCTAACCTGTTCCCCGGCACCGCCGGCAGCAGAGGCTCCACCTCCACATGCAGGCAGCACCGGCCGGGCCCAGCCGCCCCGGCAGCTTGGGAGGCTCTGCTGGTGTCGCCCCGTGTCTTCAGGGCTGCAATTTAAGCCTCACGTTTTGGGGATTTCTCAGCCTTAGAAGAGATTTCTGTGTCCCCGCCTTTGTGGAGAGCTTTCACGCATTTGACCACTTTGCACATCTCCCTTCTCCAGTGGGAGCACTCGTGTTTTCCAGACCATTCCCATTGCTGCTGCCTCCTTCCCCTCCTTCTCCTGTCCCTCCTTACCACAGCACCGAGCCTGGAATCATTACCACAATGCCTCCCCAGCCCAGGGCTGCAGTGTTTGCTCTGTTACATGGCCCAGCCCAGAGTCTGGGTTGAACATTTAGGAGCTTCACAGGGTATGCCCATCAGTGCTGTGATCTATGGTAGCCCTTGTGGAAGTAACCTGGCCTTGCCATCCCTCACACAGCCATCTCCAAGGAGGGAGACCTGTGCATGGGGAGCTGCCTCCTGCTCCACGTCAGTAGAGACATTTTGGAGAGTCCAACTCTGTCTTCAAACACACTTTCAGCCTCCAAGGGACCAAATTCGTTGGTGATTTACTGCAGGCACTCTCTAGTCCATCATCCATGGGCAGGGCAGAGCTTTTCTCTGCTACCTGAAGCAGGAGTGGGTTGATCCCTGGCAGCACAACGCAAGGACTGCAGTGTGAGGGCAATGGCTGCCAGGCACGCTGGGAAAAGGTGACTAGCAGCATGTTTGCAGTCCAGGATCTCCCACCCCACTTCACGCAGCTCGCACAGTGGGGGCTGTAAACGTGGCTGGTGCAGCCCTTCATGCTCACCGTGCCCCCAGCACACACTCTCTGGTAGCACCACCACAGACATCTCCCGACACACAGAGCCTTGATTTTCTCTGTGATTCAGAGGCACCATCTGCTTTACCCCACCAGGCAGCGTCATGGGTACTTGGGACACCTGCAGCCCTACTGCAGGATAGGGAAGGTTGGAAAGGTGACAACAGTCAGCAAGAGGGACCACACTGAGGGCAAGGAAGCAGGAAGCGAGGCCAGTGCCACCAGGGATGTCACCTGGCCTCAGGGACAAGCCCAAAGAGCAGGCAGTGGGACCCTCCTGCTTTGGCATGTTGTGAATAAGCCCTCGCCCCTGCTATCCATGCTGCTACGATGCCTGGAGGATGTGAAGCTGCAAGTTCACCCTCACGGTTATTGTCCAGGAGGCCACCACATCCCTGGTGCAGCCACAGAACCACAGCAGCAGCGTTTACCTGCATGGTGACCGTGTTTGTTTCCACAGGGACACAGCGGAGACCCTCATCCCCACAGCAGCCTCCACAGCGCTGCAGGGAGACGCAGGAGGGTCTGAAAATGTACTCCACCTCGTTGGGGAACTCGCTGATGACGTCCACCAGCTGCTCCAGGGGCCGGCAGAAACTACGGTTCCAGATCTCCCGAAAGGTCAGGACTGCAAGAGACCGGGATGAGGGGCTGTAAGGAGGCGCCCAGAGAGGCTGAGCCCAGCCGGCCGCTGCTGGGGCAGGTGCCGCGGCCGCGGTGGGGTCCTGCTTCCATCACGGGCACCCAGGGATGAAGAGGACCCCCATGTGCTCCAATAAAGTCCATCACCGCACTGGCGTGGACACAGCCACCGCCATGGGCTCGTTCTTCACCTGCCCGCCAGCTCTGCCTCCTCCTTCTCCGCTCCCCTCCCTCGCCTCCCTGCCCAGCAGCGCGGCAGAGAACAGTCCCTTGGGCTTCCCAGAGGGAAGAGCAGAGGGGAGCCGAAGCAGAGCGCAGCCCTGCGCCGGACTTGCCGCCTCCCGGCGCCCAGGGTGCTTTCCTGGGCAGGAACACTCCTCTTCGGCTCCCGCGGCTGTGCCCGGTGCCGATAGCGGGGAGCGCGGGCTGACCCGAGCCCCGGCAGAGCTGCCCGCTGCCCGCTCGGGCGCTGCCGCGGGGCTCCACGGGGGACAACAGCCCCAGGCGGTACCGAAACGCGCTCCAGCCCTGCGCGAACCCCCCCCCCCCCGCTGCCGGGGCACGGGCTGCCGTCCGCTGCCAACTCACCGGGCGGCTCCGCGCTGGCGGTCCCCCGCGCCTCCGGGGCCTGCAGGGAGGGAAAGGCGGGCGCTGGCTGGGCTGCACGGGGGAACCCACCGCCAACCCCCCACCCAGCGCCGACAGGAGCTGCACCGGCAACCACCGACCGCCACCGCGGGCAGCGGCACCGGCCGAGCCGGGCTGCCGCCGCCCCGACCCCACTCCCTCATCCCGGCTCTCACCGGGGCAGGAGGCGCCCCCAGCGTCGCGGCCACCAGCAGCCTCAGGAAGGCACCGAGCAGCCGCATCGCCGCTCCGGCAACGACTCCGCGCCTCCGCTACCGCCCCGCCGCCCCCGACATGCCGCCCTGCCGCCGGGCCACCGGCCCCGCCGTGCCGCCTCCGCCGCCGCCGCCGGGCCATGGGAGCGCGCTCCCCTCCGCCGCCCTATTTCACCGCTGCCGCCCCGCCCCCGCCCGCCCCTGCCCCGCCGCGGGGCGGGAGCAGGTGCCCGGCCCCGGGGACGGCCGGTGCCCCCCGGCGCAGCGGAGCCCCCGCCGCCAGTGCCCGGCACCGGACATTGCCCCACCGGGCTGCCCCGGGGCGTCTATGGCTTGGCCTGGGACCGGGGCAATCCCGGAGGGCGGGGAGCACCGGCGCTCTGTCGGGGCTTCTCCGCTCGCTGGGTTCCCCGGACCCTGTTCGCCTCTCGCAGGCTCAGTGTGCGCTGCCCCATGCCGGTCGGGCCACCCCGTGCCCACCCAGCAGCCCCATGGCCCTCCAGCCACCCCATTCCCCCCAGGGTGAACTGCACCTGCCTAGTCAGCTCCTAGGAGCCCTAGCAGCGGGTTCCAGCCCCTCAGCCCGAGGGACAGCATCCCCGTTCTGTCTGCCATGGGGTGTCCCTCCCTCTTGGGGGGAAAAGGGGGCACAGTGGCTCCCTGGAGCAGATCACGTCCAAACCCTGCTGCCAAGGGTAAACCCAAAGGAACTCTATGGCCTTTTCTGTTCTATTTTTAAGTCTCAAAGGCCAGAGAAGCTGGAGCTATGGGAGATGGGAAGAGAAGTGCCAGCGGGTCCCAGGGAAATAACGGGATGTGTGTCCCTGCCAGGATTCACGTTTCTGCTCTGGGAGAGCAGGGAGGCTGCTCCAGGACTTCTCTGCCCACCTCTGTGTAAGGTCTGTCCCTGCAGCATGAGGACGCCAGTGGCTTGTCCCCGGCCCTCTGGGGTCTGTCCCCAGGCAATGCGGGACGCGCCAGCTGCCTGTCCCCAGCCCCGCCGAGCCATGCAGGTGGCAGCAGCCCAGGCGTCAGCGGGAGCTCGGCTCTGGATAGAGCTTTCAGGCATGGGTATGGCTGAGTGTGTGAGAAAGCTGCTGGAGCGGGGCCTGGCAAATTAGCAGGGAGATGCAATGGAGATAAGCGCACAGACAGGCCGGCCCCGCCGGGGGTCCGGCAGCGCTGCACTTCATCACTCAGCACCAACAGCACAGCGCTGCCGGGGCTGCCGGGGAGGCATTCGGTGCCTGTTCACGCTCTTGCCCCTGGCTGGACAGCGAGGAGCAGGCAACAGCCTCACCGCGACGGCTGGAGCGTACCTGTGCTTTCCTTCTGCCACCCCATGGACCTGCCTGGGCCCAGCGACCCCACCACCACCTCCCCAGGGATGGTTTTGAGATGGGGGACGAATGGAACATTTCCTTCCACTCGAGAGCCCAGACCAGAGGCTGCCCTGAGCAGCAGCTGCTGCCAGCTCACTGGACAGACAGAATCCTGTTATTGTGAAGACCGTGACCACACGGGGCCTCACGCCTGTCCTTGATGGAAGGTCCCTCGGGGCCACCTCTCAGACACAAGGCCAGCCTCTGGCGCTGGAGCAAAGGGCTCTCCCCCAGGAGCTGTGTGGCTGGGGAGACCAGCCCTTAATTGCCGAGTGCAATCCTGTTCCTGGTCTGAAGCTATTTCCTCAGAGGCCATGGGCAGAGTTTACATTCCTGGGATGAGCATCCCCTTTCTAGGCAGCACGCAGCAGAGACAGGAGCAGAGAAACAACATTTGGAAACTGGTAACCTGTGACCAGCAACATCCTCCTGCAAACGGGAGGAGCACCCAGCTGGCCGGAGCCATGGCTGCTCGCTTTCCCCTCCGCCGTGCTCCTTCCCCGGGGGCTGAGCCCTCTCTTCCCCAGCTGCAGGACGAGGCTGGAGGTCAGCGCTATAAATGCACCGGCGCGTCCCTCGCACTGCCTCCCACCGGGCCCTGGGGAGCAGAGCTACGCACTTTGGGAACAAGGGACAGAGGAGGCTCAAGGGACATAAGGCAAACAGAGACATTTCCTTAAAGGGCAGATGCCTCCCCCGTGGTGAGCCCTGTGTGGCAGCTGTGGGCTGAGAGCATCACCTCGAATATGCCACCTTTGTTCAGTGCTGGGAGGGCAGTGGGTGGGGAAGGATGGGTGTCCTTGCTCCGGGTGGGCACTGGCAGTTCTGTGGGGACAGACTCCCCCAGCTAGCTAGAAGCTCACCATGGCACAGCCCTGCCGGGGTGCAGGCTCACCTCTGTGCCTCCTGCACCTTCTGGGTGAGGGCCCTGGGCTGTCCATGAGCCCTGAAGGAGCCCCACACAGGCAGCTGCTCTCCCCCACAAAACCTCATCCTGCTCACCACGGGTGAGGTCCCTCTAAGTTCTCTTTTCCATTAATCTGCCCTATTTGAGCAGAAAAATCCCATCACAGGCACCTTCTTCCCTGCAAAATCCCACGTTCGGCATCTCAGATGAAAAGAGCCCAGCAAAACCTTGTCCTTGCATCGCTCTTAAGCCAACTGTAGTCAGGACCTCCTGTGCCACCCCTAAAGGCTTTGGGGAAAACCCCCGAGATCCTCTGGGCATTATTTCTGTGCTGCTGCTATTTAGGACATCAGAATCTGATCAGGAGCCTGGAGACTTCTTCTGGGAAAAGTGCTGTACCCCTGTGCTCCAGTACAGGGCACAGCCACCCCCTCAGGCTGCTGCTGCCACTCCTGCCCAGCAAGACCACAGCTGCCTACATCTTGCACTGTGATGGGAGTCCGAGGGTCAAAGCAGCATTAATACGTAAAGCACTGGGCTTCCCATGCCTGCCTTTCATCCCAAAATGCCTGTGTTTCACACTCAGTGTTTCATTTGACTGCTTTCCCCAGCCCTTAGACTCCCCTAAGCTCCCCAGTAAGTGAGCACTGAGGACTTGGTTTGTAGCTCAGGCTGAGATAAACCAGCTCAGTCTTCTGCAGGCTGTGTCTCTGCAGTGGGGATGGAAGGCAAGAGGCAGAGGGCTGGAGACTGGCTGTTTGGAGCTGGGTGTACCTGCACTGGGAATGGGGATGCGCATGGTCTGGGAGGGGCTCTCCTGGCACCAGCCTCTCCGCACCGGGAAACCCAGGCCTCTCTGCCAGCGGATTGAGGCTGATTTCTGCCAGGAAACACGGGGCTCACCAGCGCCCTTGCAGGCACACAGGGCTGTGCCAGTGACCATGGATGGTCAGCACTGCTCCTCAAGGAAACAACCTGCATGGCACCGGGGGCCTGAAGAGCTCCCAGAGTCAAGCTGTGGTGGCAGCACATCCCTCACTCCCGGTGGCTGTGGGGTCAGAGCCTCCTCCCGGCCCAGGTGTGCAGGGGGATGTGTTTGTCGAGGGGCAGGCTGACAATAGGGGGAAATGGGCCGTGCTGCTCACCCCGATGGTGGTGGCTTGCGGCCCCGGCTGCTGCTGCCCGCAGCAGGAGGAAGTGTCCGGCCTTAGTCAGCCCCGGCCGCACGTGGCAGGAACTCTGCTGTTTGTTTTGGTTCCTCAGGAGGGGAGTTCGGCCTCCCCAGGGACCGGTGACCGACACCACAGGCACCTGACAGCACGGCACAGCCCCATGCTGGGGAGACTGGGATCTGCCCTCCCTGGATTCCAGGCACCAGGGCTGGCCCACGTCAGGCACGAGGTTTGGAGAGCACGGGACAGGCACCAGCACTGCTCAGGAGGGCTCAAAGCAGAGACCCGGGCAAGGGGAACCTGTTGCAAGGCCTGGCTGCTACTCCCAGGCACAGCTTAAATCCCCAACGGCACAGGGACAATGGCACCAAGGAGGAAGTCCTTGAGACCACCAGACCCGAGCCCTGGGCAGCCGCAGCCCTCAACAGCCAGACTGTGCTCCAGAAACACACTGATGGCTGGCTGACCCAGTGCTGCTCAGCCTAACGCTCCTCCTTTCAGTGCAGGGCTAGTTGAGTGCTGAGGCTGAGCCTGCGGCTGGGGACAGTGGCCTCCCCACCAGGGCAAACCTGCGGGTAGGTGCCAGCAGCAGATGGGAGGGTTAATAATGACAGCCCAGTGGGGAGGTGACAGAGAGCACACACTGCTGGGCGCAGTGCTCAGTGGCCGCATGGGCAGCCCCATGTGGCAGGGACTGTCCAGGCCACGGCTATCTGCAGGGGACCAGAGCCCGGCAGCAGGGCGAGGCACCGGGAGCCGAACCGCAGCCCCAAGCATACGTGGGTGCCTACAGGTAAGTGTCTCGTCAGCGGGCTCCTGAGGGCGGGCAGGTACCGCGCCAAAACAGCCCCTTGCGCACAAGGTGCTGAGGGTCTGGGGTGGACGTGCAGCACCCACGGCACGGCTCAGCATGAGCTCCTCGCCTGGAGCCCTGAGTGGGAGCAGAGGCCCCAGGAAACCTATGGGAATTTCCATCTGGCAGCTGCAGAGCTCTCTCTCCGCTTGGGAAAGCCCAAACAAGCTTCGGCCAGGACAGGCTGGTGCAGCAGTCCCTGTGACCCTCCACTACCAGCAGAGATGAAACACCCCAGCCCCACATGGGGCAGGAGGGATGGGGCTCTCCCAGCAGAGCAGCCCCTCTCCCCAGGAAAGAGGCGGAGGTTACTTTTCCACTGGAGAACCAAACATACTCTGCACATCTACCATAGTTCATCTCCCCGTGGAAAAAGGCATTAAACAGAGAGGAGAGAGGCCTGGGCACGGATCACCCGCTGCTCTGCCGCTGCCCCTCGCCTCCCAGCTCTCCTGGCACAGCCAGTCAGCGGGCAGGGGCTGCCAGGCGCTTTTCTCCCCTGCCAAACTCGAACCCGCTCCACACCCAGCCAGAGCTTCTGAGTGCTTATCGTGTGGATGCAGTGCTCCTGCTTTTAGCTGTCATAATATTGACACAAAGCAAAATAATAGTGATGGCGAGACTCTGCCTGCCTCTGGAAGGCAAACAGGCGAGGAGACAGGGAGCAGCAGGCTCCACTATTGTATGGAAAGAGTCAGCAGCCCGGGCTGCTTCCAAACTCTGCTTCCCAGCATCATGCCTGATAAGGGGGGCAGATTTGGGATTTGGGATGAGGGGGAATGCAGGCTCAGCAGCACGCTCTCGTCTTCG